GTGCTTTAGAGATCTTAATTTTCCAGACATACTACATTGTAAAATGATCACTGAAAGAATCTGTAAGGGTTCCAGACTTTACAACCCTAACTCCTTGTGTCACTAATATCCAGTCTAGTAAAGTACGGCTTTGAGTTTGTGAATTAATTCTAGTCAGTGTTTTAGATGAGTAAAATGAAAGCTCTCCAGTAAATTTCTATCTTTAGTGGATGATTTATTTTGTCAATCTCTATTAAAATACCCCCCAAAATCCCTTCGGCTGATGGTTCTATTGAAACTATAGGAGAGGTAATGCAGTTAATAGATTCTGCAGGGGCACTTGGTGGTCTATAAGAATTACCAATCATGTATTATTTGTTTTCATGATGGGTTATTTTAATTAATAAACCTTCCAAATACAGTGCAGCTGTCTTTGGCATAATCTGCAGGTTATTTGAGATGTAAACTGTGACCCACCTCCACAATTACAGTACATCTCTCTGCTCTGAATAATTTTTAATTATGGATTTCAAGTTCACTAATAATTTTTTGAAGTAGGTTTCAAATGTTGGAATGCATCATTTTCAATCCTTTAGTATTATCCAAAATATGATCATACAAGATGAAATACAAGTCAACACAATACATACTGCATAGAATAAAATGATTTCTTACATTTAATATAGAGTGCCAAACATGGTTTGGGAAAAAGAAATATATAAACAGACAACCAAACCCATACAGATAACATAAATAGAAACATATAACTAAAATGCTAATATAAAACAAAACCCCACTATAATAAAATAAAGACAAAATAACAGTTTTGGGGCATATGGAGATTTGTTGAATACTAGTCAATTAAGGAATGTATTAGAAAACTGCTGGTAATAAACAATACATAACGAAATAAAAGCAATCTATTCTTAAGGTAATTCATAATTGAAATACAGAAGTACATATTATGTACGCATCACAGGTACAATAGCATTAAAGAAGTCACAGTTTACAAATAACCACAGTTTAGAAATAAGCAACACTGGTGTTGAAACCAATTCATTACAGAACCAAGAAGTGATATTCGAATCTGGAAATAATTATCCACTTACAATTTATCAGCCACAGATCTGGGATGCACACTATTCCTCAAAGGCTTTGTGAATAGGATACTGCGTTTTGCGTCTCTGCAGTATCTCATGAGGGTATCGAGAATTCAAGCCAAACTGTTGACCCTGAAGTTATCGCCCTCTTTGCTTTTACACGTTTTGCAGCCAGAGGATGCGGTTTTTGTCTGCAATAAGTGTCTGCAATAAGCCTTTTCAGGCTGCTGAGACCTAATCAGAACAGTACAAATGTCAGTACCTTACTGCACACAAAGAATAAAAACATGTCTTTATAAATGGCTCTACACTGATGTGATGTAAAAAAGGTCAGAGACAATTAAAACTTGTTTATCCAGGGACAGATACTTGATCATCCTGTGATCATACTCACCGCTGTGTGACTGAATCCTCATCAAGGCGAGGAACAGCTCTCACCGACACAGAGCATATTTCTAGAGTGGAGGTACTGGAGGAACAGAAACACAAAACAGAAAAATGTACTGAGGAAGAAGTGCTGAACACAGCTCCACACAGCCACAGCTGAACAGCACACACACAGGTTTCAAGATGGACATCAGCTCCTGTTATAAAATGACACAGTATCAAAACTCCAGTGTGGAAACTAAACTAAACACCACACTTACTCAAAAGAGAGTGGATGAGCTTGGTTGTTTTTTAATTTACCAGTGTAAACACAATTATTCAATACATTGGTACAACAGCAGGTACTGTATGTGAAATTCTGTTCCCAGCATTTATCCACATATTGAACTGCAGGTCAGCAGCGCATCTTCAGGCTGAAGAAAGAAAACAACAGGAAACTGTCTGATCTCCACTGGAGTGAAGGAGCCGTCTGTACCGGAGGAGATCTGGACAGAACTAACACCAGCTACACTGTAGTGTTACTGTACCAGACAGCCCCTCACAACCTGCACCTTCAGTATTACCAAACATATTTATTTGAACAAAAAAAATCCTTCACTCGCTCCAATGCAACACAGTTAATGTGTTGAAATCTCTCCTATGAGACGCGTAGTTGTGGTGCAATTAACAAACTGAAATGGTTTCTCATGTATCTGTTACACTGATCACAAAATGTAAACAATTATTGACATTTCAACAGAAAACACATGCAGGTCTGTGCTGCTCTGTGTGATCTCACAGTGGTCCCCAGCCCTGGTCCTGGAGGAACAGCAGAGCCCTACATCTCCAGGACGAGGGCTTCACGGATACAAGGGCACAGTTTCCAACAGCACACAGAGCATCTCCTCAACCTGTAGCTCATTTCTGAATAACCAGCTCTGCTGGAACTGACTACCTGATGAAGTTAGAGGTGGGAAGGGCACGGTCTCAGAGTGGTTTTCTCCTAGGAGTCCGGTTACACTTCAGACAGAGACATATAAGACAACAGGACATATCTCTGCAGTGTGGTCAGCTACAGCTGAGTGTGACTTGAGTCTGCTCTGTTATTTATTGTGATCCTGGTGCCTCTCAGAGGGGAACAGGGCCACAGTGGGTAAACTGTGGTTGTTCATGCAGTTAACTGCAAGGGTATATTAAAGAAAACGCTGTCATTGGGGTCGTCTCAGAACACAAGCTCTTGGGAACTCTACCTCCTTCTCTCCCCTGTGGTGCCGGTCCAGTAATAACAAGCTGAAGGTCCTGGAGATGAGCAGGTGGTTCCTCCCAGTCTGTAGCCAGGCTGGGGAGGACTGTGTGTGACCCAGTGATGCTGCTGGCTCGGACCGGACCGGACTGCTCACACCACACCAGAGACAACGAAGCTCTGGTTTAGAATCTGAAGGGCCTCTCACTGTGGGGTCCTGCTGTTTTAGGGCTCACAGCTCTGTCTGATGTGTGTGGGGATGCAGTGACGTACTGAGCAGCCACCAGTACATTCATGATCACCATGATGAAGAAAGAGTCAGTTTTAAAAAACACAGGTCAGCACAAAGGTTTCAGGAGTCTTATCTTCCATAAATCCGGGTTATTGTTGACCCAACTACACTGAACAGTCAGGATCCACAAAGAGAAATGATAAAACACTCTCGGATTACTGTAATAACCGGGCACACGACAGTGCATGAAGTTTCCCTTTACTTTTTATTTGAACTGGTACACATAAATGTAGCCTGTCATAAACAAAATGCGAACGTGTCGACTTACGCATCTAAAGAGTCTCGGTATGTCTCTGCATCATTTATCAATAATAATCAAAACCACCGTGATGCTGAATTTGTAGATCCAATTCAAACCCGCAGGCGCTGCTCTCGTTGGGCTCTCTGACAATATCGCAGAGCTAATCTCGTGTCTCATCGGGAGTATTTTTACACACATTCATTTATGACTAACATTAAATTACCACGTGCATTCGGTTACATATACGACAACATAATAAATATATAATAATCCTGTCTCACATATTCGCTTACTGTTCCGAATAACAGAAATACTGTAGTATTAATATTCATCTTAATACGCAGCTCCGCACTAGCCGGAGGTTTACTGTAAACGACCCACCGGTATGAAAGAGCACAACATGTTTTATTTTACACATTCACTTTAAAGTAATAAAAATCCTGTAACACAGACCAGCTCCTCTCCCACTAAACTGAGAACATCATTCCGCACCAAACCGGGCATCGAGAGGACTGTCGTCACTGGGGAAACTACAGGCAAACTTCCCTCTGCGTCACTACTTCGCTTTAAACTTTCGACATTTGTTGTTGCGACGTAACTAACCTGCTACGCACCACGGGGAAGGGACGTCTTCGCAGTCTCCAGGTTTACAAATTGATAAACAACTTGTAACAAACTGTTACAAAACATCAAGTTAAAAGCCACGTGTCCGACGTAAATCCTTCGTCACTGTTGAAAATAAAAACAAAAACAGGACGTTTCGTAATCCCCGCCCCTCTACAGCAATCACAGCTGTCATTGGTCAATCCGGGGAAGGACTCGTTAGCTATTGGGTAAACTCACTGTCAATCACAAACTGTATCCCACCATGCAATCTGACGAACAGCCTGCAGGCCAGCGGCGGCCTCGTCACGTGATGCGGGTGTGCTGTGTTGCCGGAACCCTCGTGACTCGCCGTGCAGGAGCTGCAATGGCGTCTGAGCGCCTCGATCGGCTCCAGAGACCCGCGTTACCCACCGCTGTCCAGCGCTCATTTACTGGAAATCAGCAACAACTACAGAGCGATTCCACGGTGAAGAATAGGAAGGAGAAATACAAACTTCCGGACACTGTGTCTTAGACAAACGTCAACGTGAAAAGCGATGTTTTTACTTGTTATAAAAGCTCGGTTTCTTTTGGAGAAGGATGGCGTTGATGGAGGTGTTGTTGCGCACTTTTGTTTTTGGAAGCGCTTTTGCATTCCCTAAAAAAATAAAACATAAGAGCTGAGAGGATCACTTTCGGGCTGCCTGGTGCTTGAAGCTGTTCATATTAAATAAACTGAAAGATCCCATTGGTGGGTAGCGTGTTCCATACCCCTGCCACCCTTTGTGTAAAGAAGGTACCCGATTTCAATTTTCCCGGTTCGATTTGTGTCAATGTGACATCATATTTCACCGTTAATTCTGTAGATCTCTGTTTAGCTGCCTTTGTCGGTGTCTGTGAAGTTTATGAAAGTTGAATTAAGTGCCTTCATAGTCGTCTTGGCTCATCAGTAAAAAGATTCAGCTCCTTCCCTTAAGCCCTGAAATGTATCTGGTTGCGCTTTTCTTGCCTGATTCCAGAGCTGCAGTATCTTTTATCTAAATTCTGCCCAGATTCTTGCAGGAGGTCCTTCAGCACCGGATTGATGTGATTGTAGCTGTGAAAGACGGAAGATTTTTAAAACAATCACAGTGACAGTCCCGTTAAACTGTTGGCCTGGCTTCTGGCTTTTTAGATGAACATACTTCGATTAAAGCGCTCGGGCTGCCTGCTGCTTTCTGTAAATGAACTTGAATATGAATGAACAGGTTCAAAGAGATCTTCGGGGTGTTTGTATTTGACGGTGAAAAGGCACTTTGGAAGAAGACGTAGAAAATTCCCCATTGAAACAGCGGAATCTGAAAAAGTTTCTCCAGAAATAAGCCTTTCGAACATGAATGAAGTGCCTGGGCTGTAATAATAACGTTTTTAATTTGCGTGCTCAGACTTTGGTCGGGATACAGCTGCCCAGTTTGACAAAACTGGTCTGTTCTCTGTGAGAAGCAGCCGGTCCGGGAGTGTGTTATTGACACTGAACATAGAGCGAAATAAATCAACAGTTTTAAATAATTCAGAATTCATTCTTATTGTGTTACATGACCGTCGGTCTCGACTGTATTATTTACACCTTGTTTTT